ATATAAGAATGAACTATGCACTAATAAATAAATAAATATATATATATATATATATATATATATATATACATTTATATATATAGATATAGATATTTATATATACATATATATATATATTAATTTATATATATACACATTTTCATATATCATTTTTATATATCATAAAGTGAAGGTCTCTCACGTCCACAGAACAGACAATGAGAAAAAATGGTACTGAAAATACTTTTTGGCTTGCTAATACGAGTACCACTCACCCGTGAACGAGAAAGTCCTTTTATGGTCACATTCATAAATCCGTTTCAGTTACATTAGTTTTGATAATATTGCTGTTTAACAATATATTCCCCATACCATATTTCTTCTATGTTAATTACCCATTTCCAATCGACTGTGAAATTTCAACCTGTTCCCATAATGCATTAGGTCGATGTTGCATTTGCTGTGACTAAATACAGGCATTCTCCTCTGTATGCAATGGAGTCAAAATGATAAGATAAAACAAAGATCCCGCTGTCATATCAGTTTTATCTCGAGTATTAGTAATTTAATGGGTTAAGAATAATTATAAAAGAATGTTAGTAAACCCAGAAAAGAGTTATAGATACACTGACTTAGGTAATAGATTTTTTTATTATTAAAACATAACCACATATACAACTGTTGACATTTTTTTGTCATGAATAAGATTCTAGTGCTCTTGTCATTATGGCGATTATCCAGTGAGATGGATCTTTAATAGGAGTAATTTAGTTTTATGTATATATATATATATATATACATATCTATGTATATATATATACATATATATATATATATATATATATATATATATATATATATATATATACACATGTGTTTGTGCATGTGTGTGTGTGTGTGTGTGCATGTGTTGTGCGTATGCATACGTATGTATGTATGTAAATATGTATATATATAGATATATATATATGTGTGTGTGTGTGTGTGTGTGTGTGTGTGTGTGTATATATCATATATACATATATATCATATATACATATATATAAGCATATACATATGTGTGTATATATCTTAATTTATAGACATATAGATAAATACATATATATATATATATATATATATATATATATATATATATATTTAGATAGATAGATAGATAGATAAATATATATAGATATATATATATAATTCATACATATACATATATATATGTATACATACATATACATATTTATATATATATATATACATATATATATATATATATATATATATATATATATATATATATATATATATATATATTTAAACTATTTTCCCTCATATGCTCCATCGACGTTCATTATATACATTCACACATTCATGTATAACTTCAGGCAATTAAGGTGAAGTTCCTTGCTCAGGGAACAACGCGCCGGCAGAGAATCGAATTGGAGACAGAAAGAGTATGTATACATCTGTATTCCCTATCATTACCTTTCCCTATACCTAACATTACTCATTATCATAGAACTTCCACAAAAAAATGAATCCCTTTTGTCTATATCGTATTGTCACTGACTCTGGCGAAATTATCCGAGAAATCACGTGACGCAGAGCCAGCCCCCAGTGCCAGCCCCCAGTGCCAGCCCCCCAGTGCCATTGAACCTCATTACACCGCCGAAAAGGTCAAGAAATCCGCCCAGTCCCCGATGCGTGAGGGCCGGGAGTCGGGATCCAATTGTTCTTGCTCCGAGGTATTTAAGCGCCGCCAAACCTACACCGAGAAGCTATTCGCCTTTGCCTGAGCTCCACAGCGGTGTGCACAGCCTCTCCCGAAATGGTCCGTACAGCCTTTTAAGACACTGTTGTTATATCTAGAGGATTTTTTTTATATATACTATTATATATGATTTTAGGTACTTTACGTTCGAATGTCGTTTTTATCACTGTATTTGATCAGTTTGAAAACAAATGCTGAGGCATATCATTCGACTCAGTTTAGGCTAGAAAAATATATATCTATATATATTTTAGTTGTCATTTTATATATGTCACAGTTTGCTACCGAAAAATTAAGTTTATTTTTGGGTAGCCTTACATCAATGCATTTTCACGAATCAGTAGAGACGGCAGAGGTAGTCAGTCATTTTTCCTTCAAAAATATTGTTAGATCCACAGAAATGTATTATTTTATTTATTTATTTCTCCTTTATTCCGGTCTCGTTCTACGTACTCTACGCAATGAATCAAAATACTATATTCTTCATTTCTTTTAATATATTATAGTTAGAACAACAGTAAGGTTAGTTCCTTTAACAATCAGTCTCTTGGTATGGCAGGTAATTTTCCTTTAGTATTGTTCAATCCACACGAATTTCACCCCTCTAATCAAAAAGCAACTTCCTCGTTTTAATCATAAAGCCATAGTCATAGCAAGGATAAGATAGAGGAAATAATAATTCAAATAATAATAAGACATAAGGCGCTGTTTAGGCGGCTCAATTAAAACGATGCGAAACTGAAGGGTTCATTAGAATTA